AGAAACAAGGCGCAACCACACGCAAATGGCCCTCCGCCTTCCCAGGCAGGGCTTGGAAGGGCCCACCGATAGGATCTCCATCGAGGAGAGACCAACGGGCTACCTGAGTCGATCGGACGGCTCAGGCGACTGCCGAGAGACAGGTAAGGGGTAGTGGGATGCCCCATGTGGGCTACGCCGACTCTGCCATGAACGACGGAAATGGATCCCATTCGGACATATCCGATAAGAGCTCCTCAAACCCATCACTCGAGTCATTAAGGTAACTTTACCAAACGTTCTCACTTTATTTTCTGATGCATGATCATTCATCCATCCAATCTCACACATGCATTCACACATTCATTCATATAATCATTCATTCATTCCATACATCCAAAGCATCACATATGCAATTGATGCATCACAACGCTTCGTGTTGCGTCACGAAGCAGTAGCTGCCTCATTCAACATGAGCAACGACCGACCAGGGTTCGAAGGCTGGCCCACAAAGGGCTCAAGGCCGCCTCACATCAAACAGAGACAGGGGAGAAAACACGGATGAGCCTCAGTGACCCTCGCTCGGTATGCTCAGAAGCAGACAGGGTCATCTCAACCTTCTCGTTCGATCCTAACCTCGAGCCATGCCCACAGAATCCCCATCGAGGGGAAGCCAGCGGGCCACCTGAGTCGCTCTCCGGAATGACCCGGGCATTTGCCGGGAGCTGGGTTAAGGAGCAGTGGAATGCCACATGGGGGCTATGCCGACCCTGTTACGAACGACGGACCCGGATTCCGCTCGAACGCGCCCGTTAGTGAGCTCACCGAGGTCCTCACTCGAGCCATCGAGGCAAGCAACGTTAGCTCAGCCCCTTCGGTTGCGGAAACTGCGAATGGGGTAACGCACAGAACTAGACCAACCCCTACCGAACCCAACGGGGCTCAGGGCTCAGGTCACCCGATGCCAACTTGGGAAATCAACCGACCGCGCTTGGTCAGTCGCAAGGGGGGACAAACACGGACGAAACACCCCGAACGGCGGAAACACAGGAGTCTACGGCCCTAGGAAAGAGTGCCAAGATACTCAGCCACCAACCGACTCACCAGTCGGATGCAGGCTCGGGGGCTACACCCACCAGGTGCGCTCGCGCGCACCCGCTGGCAAATCGAAAACCCCACAGACCATTCTACCCATATCGCTCGGGGGCTCAGGGGCTACACCCAGCGGGTGCGCTCGCACGCACCAGCTGACAAAATGAAAAATCCCCCAGATGATTCTACTCGAATCGCCCGGGGGCTCCTGTCGAGTTCATAACCCCAGGGTCCCTAATGGGTCTACTTCCTAGCAAAAGCTCGGCCTAGTAGACAACGTTGCCAAACAACGCGTAACTCCTAGACTGGCCCAGATACCTAAACGATAGGCCGAAAGAGCAAGGGGCAAGGAGGAGACGACGCTTGCTTCTGACACTGACCCGCCTCTCCATCCGGAAGGCCTGGCCACAAAGGAGACGACACTCGCTCCCCACTCCGACCTACCTCTCTGATTGGAAGGCTTGGCCAAGGAGGAGACGACGCTCGCTTCCGACTCTGACCCGCCTCTCTGACTGGAAGGCCTGGCCAAGGAGGAGACGACGCTCGCTTTCGACTCTGACCCGCCTCTCTGACTGGAAGGCCTGGCCAAGGAGGAGACGACGCTCGCTTCTGACCCTGACCCGCCTCTCCGACTGAGAACACACCAAACCTCTGCTTACGGCTCTTCTCCGACTGGTGTGGTCGGAGCCAAGTAGGAACGACCGAACAGGGACGTTCGCTCGGTGAGGACCTGAGAAATCAGGCGGAACAGATAAGGTAAGGCGCATAAGTCGACCGCAATACCGAGGGTTGTACCCTGCACACCTGTAGGACAGTACTGTTAGGCCATGTCAGAAGGGTACTTTGCAACCTTCCAGACAGGTCAGAACACGAACAGTGTTGTGGGCACCGTATTTGTCCTATAGTATGGTAGGCGTTGACATTTGCCATACCAGAAGAACACGATGGAGCCAACCGCATATATCTGGGCGTCAACAGTATTGTGGGCACCGACAAACCGTCTTGTACGTGATAGCGTGGGCAACAAGACTAGGTAGCACACACGCACTCTCTCTCTCTCTCTCACTTGTAAGGCCGTCCCCTTCATCTATAAAAGGGGATGCGCCCTCTCCCAACAAAGGGGGATGACATATCACAAGAAACAACAGATGGATCATTCCGGCTCACTCTCTGCTAGCCTTAGACATTCTAAAACTACATAGAGCATACGTTCCAATACTTAGCGCACGTAGGAGCTCCCATCACTCTTGGCTCTTCAGTCTAGAGTTCGATCGGGCCTCTAACACCCCCATCTTATTCCCCCTCATTTGTAACCCCACAGCAAACTTCGAGCACCTGGGCTCAGGAATAAAGTCACCAACTGACTCAAACTGGATGTAGAGCACGTTGCCTAAACTAGTATAAATCCTGTGTCATTAAGTGCTAGGCCACATCCGATCATAACATACGGCAAAACTACAAATATTTATGTGTTGGTCACTTTTCGCACCGACACAAGGTGTAATCCTATTTCTAAGAGTTTCGGTTGTCGTTTATTATTTACGTCTATGCATTGTATCCACGTATATCATAATAGGAATAACGATAGATCATGGAGTCGACTAAAGTAGCGGAAAAGATGGTGCCTTGATGATCATGTCGCCCGATGGAATACTAATCCTTGGTTATATCTTGCCTAGGCAAGCCCCGGTGCATAACCCCTATTATTCTGTACTTTATTTTATGCTTGTGCATTAAGTTTTTAGGAGTTGAATGAAAACCCACTTGCATATATATATCCTTATCCTATGAGTCCTACTAGTATGTCAGTATCGTGTTGATTGCTATGCTATAGGATTCGGTAGAAATCGAGTGATTACCTGTCACTCGTGAGAGATAGGAAAAATATTATTGTTGTTATTATATTACTATCACATGGAATATATATGGATGATAATTGGAGACCGGGCGGAATGGTACTTTGGATCTGGACTTGGTTAGGCATTTGAGCGAGGCTCGGATTGCATTTGTTCCGCCTATGTCGATTGAGGACCGCCCGTTGCTATGGATGGTAGTCAGGTCATAGACTTATTATCATAAGCACATACTTGCTTATGGGAGCGGGAAGGCTCGTTACGCTCTTGTCGTGGGTTTCGGCTCTTTCTGGACCAACTGATTGGAGGTGGGGAAAGGTGGAGGTCTAAGCACCATACGGAGACCGGGTCTCAAGTGTGGGGGCTTGGAGTCCAAATTTGGACAGGGACCTAGACCCCGCGACAGGAGTGGAATGGGTTGGTCTTGTTTGTGCCTGGGGTACAAACAGGGCGTGTGTTTCGGGGTACCTAGCTGAGATACATTGGTTCGCGAATCGCCGTTTCTATGAGACGGTATGACTTGACTATGGTCTAGCATCGTAGTATGAACTGAAACTTGAAAGGTGAAAAAATGGTTCTGATTGCTTACCACCTGCTTTAAAGTAGCATAGGTGCTTACATAGAATGGTTAGTTAATGAACTAATGATGACTGCTAATAAAATTGAATATAAGGATGCACATTTAGTAATGCTTCTTGCAGATGCAAATACCCACAAGCCAGATAACCTTGCATATCCTTGGAGTCTTTTATTTTTCTCTTATCGGGTAAGTCTTGCTGAGTACAATCAAGTACCCAGGGTTTTATTCCCCCTGTTGTAGGTGATCGGATGATACTTAGAGCTGACTCTTGTGTGTGGAAACCTTCTGGTGGGCTTAGAGAGGATTCCTTTCACGCTACGACCGTAGTGTTTATTTATAACCCTTACTAAAGGTTTTTATAAGAAAAGATGTAAAATCTGCTAGCATCTCTTGTATACAAATGTCCATTATGTTAATGCTCCACCATGTCATTAAATTAATCTTTGCTTCCTCTGTAACTCTGATAATATTATTATATTCCGCTGTTATAATCAATTGAGGTAATATTCTGTTACTGTAATAAAGTGATGTAAGAAATGACTTAAGAATGTTGTAAGCTGTATTCTCTCATTTATGATCCTGATGGAAAATGTGGATTTTTTAGTTCTCCTTTAGGGTGTCTCGACAGAACTGCGTAGTTTAGTGTCCTCTCTTGAGTACTTAGTGTCTAATAGAAGACAAGTACTCCTGGAACGCATTAGATTAGGCGGTTCTACCATAGCCTCCTTGACGGTCTTGCAGCCCCAGCGTCGCCCACATCTCCTTAGGGACAGCACGCAGGAGCACCCCCATCGCCTGCCGATCTTGGGATCTCTTGATGTTAGTGCCTGGATCGATGACGTGTCATATCTCCATCGCCTCCAGGTTGCACTGCATCAGCATCACCCACTCGGTGTACTTCGACCGATCCAACATCGACCACATCAATGAGCTCTCCCGAACGCCGGGCATGGTGCTCGCCGACACGCCGTCGCCCATCTTCTTCTCTGGCTCCCTGCGTGGGATCACGAACTTCTTCTTTGGAGGTTCTCGGGGTGGGCTAATGGACCCACAGTAGAACATCAATCGGCTCTGATACCAGATTGTTAGGGCCGGTAGATCGCCGATGCTATGAATTCACCAACGCCCCGGCGTTGCCCGTAGCGCGATCATCGCGAACGCGATGGCGAGAACACAACGAGCACACGTGCGAGAGAGAGAGCAGTTTGCACTGCGAATGGCGTAGCTTTCCTTGATGCATTTGCTTGTATTAAAACTAGGCTTGATCCGAGACTCCCGCCACAACGTGTAGCTGCACGGTGCGCCATCTTTTGCGGTCGCCCGTGTGACATGCACGGTGTGCACGCCGTGGCATAGCCAGCCCTCCCTGGACACGGTCAAAGCGCAGCGTGTGCAGTCTCCACGCTGCCCCTGATTCTATGCGATAATTACAAACATGTTTGTCTAAACAACAAACTAACTAATTCATCTACCATGCTGAAACATGTCTATCATGATTACAAGGAATCAAACTCAACATAGTTCTCATCCATGAACGCCTTGATCCGCTTCACCACCTTGCGGGTGTTGGTGAACTCAGGGAAGATGTAGAATGCATGGATGGATTCGGTGAACTCCACGACCTGCACGTACTTCCCTTCCTGCCGCGGCATTTCGGCGTACCGCCGCTGCCAGTCTTGTAGCGGGTCGAGCCCGTCGATCACCACCAGCGCCGGTGGGAACGCCTCCCCGAGCTCGGGCTCCGTGACCGTCACATGCGCAGCCGGGTGGTCCCGGGTGGCACCCTCGGGGTGGAACGCCCTCCACGACCAGTTGGAGCGTCGGATATTCACCACTGGCGCCACGCCCTCCAGCCTTAGCTCAGCCGCCGTGCCCTCCTCCCCACCGAAGTAGGGCTGTAGTAGGATGATGCCTGCGATGCGGACGGCCACCAGGTCGCCAAAGGCTGTGCCCGCGACTGTCCAGCGGCGCGCCATGTGGTGCACGATGTTGCCGCTGGCGCTGTCCACAGTGAGGAAGCAGCGGGAGAGGTCGACCGATACGGCGAGCTCACCGTCGGGGAGGCCGCCGTTCACGAGGAACCAGAGCACGTCCGTCCTATCATCATAGGCCGTGGGGTACCGGTGCTCAGGGGCGAGGCGGTAGTTCACAAACATGACCACGGCGCCCAGCTCACGGCAGAACCGATGGTACATGGCGTCGTAGGGCGCCGACGCCGCGGAGAACAGCGCGACGTCGCCGCCGTGGACGTAGACCACCAGGGGAACGGGGATGGCGGCGGACGGCTCGGCCTTGGATGGCGAGAACACGCGTGCCCATCGATGCTGTGCCAGCGGAGTACAGGGAGCCATATGGGGTGAAGAACTCTGCCAAGGAGGCATGGGAGGCCATTGCAGCGATACGCGTCGGCTCCGACCGCACAAATAAGGCGATGGCCCAGCTGCTGAAGTAGGAGTACGCCAACCTCAAGTTTAAGGATGGTGAGTCGGTGGAGGACTTCTCCCTCCGCCTGCAGTCGCTCATCAGCAAGCTAAGGAGCCACGGCGTCACCATCGATGAAGAAGAGGCGGTCTCCAAGTACCTCCACTTCGTGCCGGTGAAGTACATCCAGATCACTCTATCTATAGAGACGATGTTGGGCTTGTCCACCCTCGCTATTGAAGATGTGACAGGCCGTCTACGGGTAGTGGATGAGCGTATGGAGCAGGCCACAACAACGACGGACAGCGACAAGCTGCTGCTGTCAGAGAAGGAATGGGCTGCCCGGATGAAGGAGAAAAAGTATACGGCTATGTCCGCGGACACGACGCCGAGCCTGTCCGGGCATGCGCTGGCGTAGGCCTGGCGGTCGGCGAGCGAGAACACGAAGCGGTTCACCATGCCGTCGGCCCGCTGGGCGATGTCGGTGGCAGTGACGAGGCCGAAGATCTGGAGCCGCACCGTCCACGGCAGCGCCGGGGGGCCGTGGCGCCACTGCCGTCTCTTGCGCCTTGGTGCGGGCTTCTTCCGCCATCTCGCTTGCTCTCTGCTCGCACTGGCTAGCTCCTCGCGTCGCGTTGCAGACGACACGGCCCACGGGAAGGCCATCGCCGTTTCCTGTTCCCTCTTTGTATATAAAGACAAAGGGAAGGCGGCGGGCGTCGGCGACGATGGTGGTGGCAACGGCCGTTAGAATCGTGTACGGCGTGATGGTTCTGGTTGCGTCCACCGTGCAAGTAGCCAACGGGTCACTTTGCTCACTTGGATGCTACTCGCTAGTGGACACGGAAACGGATGCTATCCCCGTCATATCGGATTTTGTGAACTCGGCCGGCTGAGGAGGACACTAGCGGGAACGCTCCCCAATTCGCTGCTTCCTTTCTCCGATTCCCCTCCCCTGCTAGTTGATCATTAACAGATTCGGATGTGGTATTGGATATTTTGGGTAACAAAGATTGAAGAGCCAAAATACCAAATATGTACTGTTTCTACTCTATATATTTCTGCCCTTAAATTAATTGATACTTTACTACATTCATTTCATATCGTAAGTTGTTTGCCAGTGTTTTTTCTAGTTAGATAATTTTTGCTATGGACTATTTATGCCATGTCTAAATAAAAACGACTTCCTCCGTTCTAAATTATAGTCGTTTTAACTTTTTTGGTACATCTATTTTGCTATGTATCTAGATATAATAATAATATGTCTAGATGCATAGCAAAATGGATGAATCAAAAAAGTCAAAGCGACATATAATTTAGAACGGAGGGAGTAGAAATTATGTAAAGAAAAATGACTTATAATTTGTAGCAGATGAGTACTACCAAACATCCTAGACGAAATGAAGGTGGTTGCCCCTAATGGGTGTCTCCTTCCATAGAAAAGGGATGCTGGATTCTGGCTTAGGAACCAAACATCTGAGATGCCGGTGTGCTAGCACCTTGGTGATGAGCGATTGACAACGCGGTGTGCGTGTGACGTATCTCTCGGCAGGTTGTGGTTGTAGGTGACAGGTGGAGACAAGGTACATGCGGCGACGAGTGAAGAACGAGGATAGGATGCCGTGCCGAAGAACCGTGGGGGCGGAGAAGGGCGGATCGAGGCTTGCGTTCGAGGGACAGGCGATCGTGTGGTGTACGTCTACTGTACCTGGCTACATGGTGGGAGGACGTCGAGGGAGGTTTCCAGATTACGCCACAAAATCCGGGGTTCGCTGGTTGAGCCACAAAGCCATGCATCGTACCGGGACGCTCGTGCGGCGTGCGTTGGCCGAAGATGGAAATTCTGGCGATCGCGATACGATTTCGGATGGTCGTGCGGCGACATCGCGAGGATCACATCGCGGAGATGGAGGGATCGCGGACATCGCGGAATTTGCCATGGAGGACGTAATTGGAATTTACGCCCCTACGTTGGATTTATTTAGCGTAGGGGGTTATGTGAAAATAGGTCAGGTCACCCTTTGAAAATATAAATATGTGGCCCCTATGGTTGAGAAAGGTGGGATGTTTTGGACTCCCGGCGAGTTACTATTCACGCGTGAACAGTACCCGTGAACAGTACTCGTGCCTCGGGGTTCCACGGTTCAGTTTTCCTCTCTCCGGTCTAGCCTAGGGGTTGAATTCTAGTGAGAGGTTTTTGTTGATCTCTCCGATTAAGAGAGGGAGGATGTTCGGGCGGAGGCTAGATGCATTTTTGTAAGTTCAATTACTCAATTTAATCTTTCATCTATAATGATTGATCTTGTGCATCTCGATTTGTTCTTTACAATTCTCGTTAGCATCTGACATAGTCTGTTTGTTTTATTTTTATCTCAAGATCCGTAAGTCAGATTGACGTGATTCCAGTTAGGTTAGTTTCGTAATTTCATCTAGTTTAATCTGACAAATTTTTAGGTCGATCGGAGTTATAGATTTTCGTCCACATCAGGTTTACTAGGTACATAGAGTTCTGTTCAGATTTAAAAAACGTGATTTAGTCAGGTTTTGTGTTTAGGGGAAGGGTTATAAATTTTTGGCTTCCGCGACCATTCACCCCCCTCTGGTCGCCCGTTTCGATCCTTCAACATCCCTGAGATTTCCTAATCCTAGCTTATATCATTAGAAAGGATGAAGCAGTTGATTCGAACGTTTTGTCCTCCGTAACGCCTTGAGATTAAGCAGAATGTGTCAGATAATTGGTGAGTTAACTGTGAACATGATGTTGACATGTTTTTTCATGAAAACACACCGATAATATTTTTTTTCAATACATACTTCATGTTATAACAAATGTTCAGCACCGAAGTAAGCCCAAAAAACAACTGATGATCCGTAGGACAAAGCAATAGAGTAATACATAGGATAATAATTGGCTATATATATATACATCATTTGTACTCACTAGCTTTATACAGACTTATTTATTACTAGGTTTCACATAAGTAAACAGAATGCTTGTAGTTTCTTACACATAACAATGATTTCACTAGCAGCACCACTTAAACAACAACATGAATGCACATATTAAAATACCTCATATCTGGGAAACACAGTAACAGCTCTAGACCTTTGCAACTTAAGTTTGCACATGCATTGCGTACCCACAAATTGAGTTGCATATATCTTTGATGGTTGTCATGTTCAGCAGACGTCCAGTAGCTGTTTAGCCCTCTCCACAAGCGAGGATAAAGGTTCACCTGCCTCCATTAGCCCAATATCACCCATGAAGATGGTGTAGTTCTCTGCCTCTGAGATGGTCTCCTCAACAGTCGATAATACCTCTATCATGTGAAGATTATGGAAGCAATCTACAGTACTAGAGTCATACTCCATCAACTTTATGGCTTGTTCAAGTATCACTCTCCTGATCCCAGGGCAATCAGCATTGGGCTCCATGTTCGCATTCAATGCGTCGACAAGCCGCTTCACAAATGTTACCTTAATGTGACCATACTCAAAATCTCGGGCGAACTCCTCGGGGATGGCTTCATATATATGTGAACTAAGGCCAATGAAGATTTCTAGTTCTTCACCCTCTGCACGGAGTATTCTTTCCAGCACCTATATCATCAAAAGAGCAACATGAAAGATCATAATATGATATATTGCAGTTATACTGCACCTAATTATAGTCAAGTGCTAAATATATAATTGTATGGTAAATGATTATGATATCTGAGATCTGCTCCCTCGTTTTAAATTATAGTTTTTTTTTGCAGTTTTGTCTCTCTTGTCAAACTTCTCTACTTTGATCAATTTTTAGAAAAAGATATATTAACAACTACAAATTTAAGTAAATGCACTATTAAGAATATTTCCTAAAGCATTTAACGAAACTAATAATTTGATAACCTAGACATTGATATATTTTTCCTATAAACTTTACCAAATTAAAACATTTTGATTTATGATAAAAACTAAAATGAAATATAATTTACAACAGTGAGTATTAGTTTTTTTTTTTAGAAAATGAAAACATGTTTTAGCCTTTGCATAGTTTGCACATTTCACACATAGTAGCTTGCAGTAGTAGTGCTCAGTTGCTCACCACCCGCGAGATGTAAGATAGTTGCTTCAAGTCGGTCTCTTTGAGCTCAGATCGAGCATGCATGCACACATTCCGCAACAAACTTGCTGCAACACATCTATACCTTTCAAAATGGATCATGGTTGTGAGTTCCGCAATGAATGAATAGCCTGTTTGCCTTAGCATAGTCAGGCAGTTGTCGACATTGCCTATTGCCAACATTGCTAATGCTTGTCCTGCGACCTTCCTTAGGGCTTCTCTGGAGTGAGGAAAACTTGCACCTGCACTACTGGAGGGCTGGTCTGGAGTGAGAAACGCATGCATCAATCTGGTAATGATCCTTTGAACACGCCCAATTGCTAGTCTCATGCTTGCATCGATAGCAAGGTTTCTAATAATTCCTGCCGCCACCTTCCTCGTCTCATAATTACTTGTGATGTCTCCTAGGACCTCTGAGAGATTTCTCAAGAGAAAGGGATGTTTTGATATCTTGTGTCGCAGTGTTATGCCGATCTCCCCATCGATGCTTGTGAGCCTGTAGAATACCTTCAATGATGAGTGAACTAGGACCTTCTTTTCAGCGTCAGTATAGTTGGTGTCAGTTCTGCAAAAGCTTGTGAATCTTGTGATCTTTCGAATGAGGTCGACCGCTTTGCTGATCTCTGTACAGTTGCTTTGATCATAAGTAGCTAGGCTTTGAATAATGGACATACCAATTACTGGGAGAAGATCCTGCTCTGTCAATGGTCCTTCCTGGGGAACTGACCAGAATTCAGAAACTTGTCGCCACCGTCTGACTATCCAGAAGTTATGCTCGTTACTATTACAAATTTGCTGGGTTGAGTGCTCTTGTGTTTCGAGCAGTTTACCAGTGTCCAGAACTTCATCTCCCCTTTCTGTTATGTTACAAGTGGCATTTACAAATAGATCATGTTGCTGCTCTTCTTCTTCATCTGTGTTCAGAAGTGGGTTTACTCTTTTATGTTGGTTACCGCAATCCAAAAGTAGAGACACATTCTGAACTATCCCAGGGCAGTTGACGGCTAGGAGGCTTTTGGCAAGCTGATCAATGACCTTCGCTGAAAATAGTCTAATGGTTTCATCCCCTCTGTCTCGTCCTGTCCGGTGCAGCATTCTCATTACTCTGGTCATCGTCTCTGTCGATGCTTTGAGCTTCAAAAGGAGCCGTGTCCTGCTTGGATCCCTCTGTAGAAGGGTGTGTGCAGTCCGGATGCCATGGAGCTGCCTCTTGGTTGAGTCTGAGTTTAGATAATTAATGGCAAAGTTGCAAAGGCTGATATTTGGAGCAAGCACATTACTTTCCATGCATTTCTCCAAGGCATATGAGTAGTACAAATCGACAGAGTCTACTCCCCACTGACCTTTGAATCCCCCACGGTTGATGAGAAATCTTCGAGGGATGAATGAGAAGATCTCGACCACGCATGCCACAAGATACAATGCTCCTTGGCCAAGTACCATCCCATAGAAGATGTTTAAAGATGGTGCAAGGTTTATCGTATCAGGATCGCATGCACCATCACTTGGTGCCGGTGATGGTGCGGGGCTTGGTGTAGCACCATCTTCCTTATTACAATAGTTTTTGTAGTCTTTTGATATGTATTGAAAACGTATAAGTGGGAGCACCAATCGGAGCACCGCTGCAGGTACCTGAAAGTTGCCAAATGAAACTAACACTGGGGTTGATGCTTCGACTACGATCATTACAGGTGCCACGTACCAATCATCACCGTAGAAAGAGAATGCCGCCATCACAATTGCACCAATCATGCACAAGTTTAGAACAACACGACGCCAGAACTCTTGTTTTCTGCCCAGAATAATGTTCACTAGCTTGATGATATCTGCGAACCTCATCTTGCTAACTGTCACTAGCACCACCACCACAAGCAGCACCCCGTACGCTATACATATGGCCACCGGGTAATGTTTGAAATAGAAATAATAATCTTGATATTGATTCTTATGTTCTTGTTGCTTCGATAAAGAATATTGCTTTAAAGAGGCCCCCAGCAGTATGATGATTGCAACCACGGGGCTCCATAATGATATTGCACGCCGCAACCGTAGTGGAAAGCGTGCTAGTAGGCTTGGAGCTCCTGGACACATAAATTGGCCAATGGCAACTAGTATCCCCAGAAGTGGGAGGAACAACACCACAAATTGGCCAGTGGCATCTTGTAGGCTTGGTGCGAGCAAAGGGATGCACAACACCACACCGTTAAGATATACTATAAGAACCAATCCATTCCAGCCAAGAGATCTGAAAGCACCTCTAGTGCCAAAGAACACTTTATAATCTGTTCTGTTGTTGCGACTGAACATCCTGAAAGTTGCGCATGATAGATAGATAGATAGATGTTATAAACAGGCAAATCGAACATAACATGCATGATCCAGAAATCAAATGCGAGGACACACATATGTCTAGATGTTTATCCAACAGTTAACAGTTACTGTATTAGATGCAGATAACCTTACTGAACTACTCGGAAAAAAAAAGATAGCCTTACTGAACAAGGTAATACTTTTTACTGCTCACGTTTTCAATACTCATTACCAAACTGAGGTACCAGACCCCAAGATAAGCTACTCAACCAGTAAAGCAAACCTCATTAAAAATACGTAGTATTGATTTCCTATGATGCATGCTTATTTCCTTTTTGGTTTAAATTTATCTGTAGTAGTAGGCTTCTTCGTACTAGAACATTGTCGCAGCAGACAGCTAGCAGTAGACATAATAATAAAAGGATCCATGGCACTGTGTTCCTATTTCATCTCGGTTAATTTTAACCCATCTATATACTATAAAAAAACTATATGTATTATTTACCTGAAAGCTTCGAGGAAAAATATGGTGGTGGCGAACCAAAAATCATTGCCGTGACGAAGCTTCGTTGAGAAGCCACCTAGCAGGACGACGGTTGCCCAGGTGAAGGCCAGGGTGCCGAGGGCGTTGCCCAGCCTTTCGATCAGCGCGACGCAGCGTACGAAGCAATTCAGCCGCCTTTCCGGGGTGGCTACCTCGCCCTGCCCACCATGCCCGGCGCCACCACCATCAGCGGGCATGTGGACGCTGCGCTCTACGCCGCTGCTCTGCGGCTGCGCCGTGCCGCCATGGCCCATGGCTTAGCACCAAGCGCGGCTGGATCGGCTGTGCTTGGTACTCGTGGTCAAGGAAGAGAGCGGAGAGGGTGTCTGGGGAGCGGCATGAAGGGCAGAGCAGAGGAAGCTGAGGAGAAAGCCGCCTCAGGCCGGCGGAAAAGGAGTATGGCCATATGCCCATATGATATGCCATGTGGGGGGTTAGGGGTAACAACCGCGGGAGATTGATTTTCAAATGTAACACCATGTCCTCACTGAGGGATTGCTCACATGGATGGATTGCTTTAACGACAAAAGATAAGTACAAGCTTAGCCAGGCCTTGTTTAGCAGTCTGTTCAGTTGGCTGGTTCGTTTCGTTGCTGGTTCGTGAAGAAGTACTACTGGCTGGTTTGTGTGAGAGAAAAATACTGTTCCGGCTGGAAATTTACGATCGTTTACGACAAGCCACAGCTAAACGAACAGGCTGTAGATTGCAAGTTTTTTCACTCTCTCTCTATCACATCAAATCTTTGGACATATGCATGGAGTATTAAATGTAGATAAAAAAATAACTAATTACATAGTTTGATTATAAATTACGAGATAAATCTTTTAAACCTAGTTAAACCATAATTAAACAATAATTATCAAATACAAATAAAAGTGCTACAATACTAAACGCTGATTTCTAACCATCGTGCCTAACGACACAACCACCACTCACGCAAAGAAAAGAATATTTTACTAACAAGCAGCTCCAGGCTCCAGCGGTCCAGCCTCATCGCGTTGCAACATTGCTCACGCGCGTGAGGGATCAACGACGGACCACGCGTGTTTTAGTTTTACTAATTGATTCATTCATGCACTTTTTGTCGGTGCCTTCTTTTCTTCTGTTTTGTCATGGAGCATTATTTCCTCCGCCAGCAAAATCGGTCCTCGTAATTTTCATGAGCCCATCGATCGACGTTAGTCTGAACCTTTCTGCACACCGGCCGGCCAGGGAAGATTTGCAAATTTGAGAAATAAAGCAAGTATGAGCACTTAAAGTGCAAGGCCTGATGCGTGCTCTCTTGAATCATCGAAATGCATCCATTTCCCAAATCTCAGTCCATAACAGAGTAATGGCTTTTACATGACGTGAAATCGTCATGGGGAACCATAGTGGTACAAACAACGCCGCCACAATGGAGATCGCAAAGACGCAAACTACATACGGAGCAATACGAAGCGTAGAAAAATGGACTAACACGGGTTCTTTTTTTAACACGATGAAGAGACATGTGCAGTCAAGAAAATTAATGCTAGCAACCTAACTAAGATTGCTTTCAGATAGTAGCAAGGAACCAAGAACAAAGCGTGGACATTTTTTGGTACGACATTCTAACGTGGGTCCATCGTCCTGCCTGCTGTGTTCCCACACCCCAACGGCGCTGCCACTCCGTGCGATCCCGCTATCGTGGCCTCCGGGGGTCCGCCTCACACTCCGCAATCATCGTCTCCGGCAATCATGCGTGGCTCACCAAATCAACGCACTGGGAGAAGGGACGATCCCGCAACCGCAATCGCAACCGCAATTGGATCACGCACATCCTTGAGGTCCCTGCTCCGCCCCTCCGCACCGCGCCGCCGGCCAACCCACGATCCTCTGTTCCGCACCACGCCGCCGGCCGGCCAAAGGCCCGAGGCGTCCTACGGCTGGCCCCTCCCACTACGCAGCGCGCTTTTCGCCAGGCCTAGGCCGCCCCGCAACGCCAACTGCCGCCGGACACCAACCCCCGATCCTCCCCACCCAGCGCCACGCCGCATGGCCTAACGAGCAGAAGAAGACATCCAGAAGAACAACTGCATCGCCCGCCGCACCCTGAGCAAGGTGGCGCTCCTAGATCCCGCTGCAGCGCCGCTCGTGGGATCGGCGGTGGAGGGGAGCAGGATTCATCACGCCACCGGCGGATGTGCCTACCAGCGACCTGCCTCGCCTGCTTGGCTCCCATTGGACCAGTGCAGGCCATCCTCCTGTAGTCTCGCTTCCGCCATCACGTCTCATCTTGCACCCTCCTGCCGTCGAGCGCCAACCACAACCTCCGGCACAACAGCCGAAGTGCCGGACCAACGTGCCCAAGAATCCTTACACTAGAGCAGCGCCACAGCAGGTACAAGAAGATTTGCTACTACAAATCTACAATCTAATAATCTTTCTTGTTCCGCAATTATTTATTTGCAATTTCTGTTGTATTATTATAGGATTAATCAAGCCTGTAGGCTATAGTAGGATGAGTAAATCATCCGAGAGTTCTGATTTATTTCAACTTGAACCCATGTCTACCTTTAAAAATTAAGACATATGTGGATTGAATTTATATTGAGGGCAGGGTATATCTGTGTCCGCTATCTTGAGCCCCTTTGTACTGCATTGCCATCTGCCAGTAAGCAACAACTTCAATTTGGTTCGCCTTCATTTACTACAGCAGTAGTGTTCTATTTATGTTTGAATACGCACAAGGTAGTCCCCAGATAAGTGACAGTTTGGTTTGTACTTCAATTGCCTCACGAAGTGCTATGTGCTAAAGCTTTCTTATTTACGTCTTATAAAAGCATGTAAATGGGTTTTGTCTACCAAGACAGTGGTGCAAATATGATCTCCTGTGACCAATTTGGCTGAAGAGGTTGGAGTGTTACTAGATGGGACTAACTAACTGTTTTGGACAGCCAGAGAAATGATAGATGTCTGCCTCCAAACGATCCACACTTGGGATGAGTTCATTGCTGCTCTGAATGACAAGCTTGACCTTGGCACCATAGTGAAATGAAGAGGAAGTCGACAAAGATGTGAAAGCCCGAACAAAAAGGGAAGGGAAACTTGGAGATGCCAAAACAGTATGCACTCAATTTGACTACCCATAACTTCTAGAAAGAACCCTGTGCTTACTTTGATTCTAGAAGGCCTGCAAAGATGTGGCTGTTTTGCAGGCACAACTAATGATCTTTAGGGGTCTTTTGATGAGTGAATAAGATGGGAGTTCATATGATTCAGATCCAGTTTGTATAAAATTGTACCTTAATATAAACCCAAGGTTGACACCGCATTGATTTTTTTTCCTCGTGTGAAACCAGTGTATAGGTTGTTCATCACGAGATCAGACATACTTGTTTATTTTAGGTTGTTATTATTTTGCTGATTTTTGAGTTGACATCCATTGTTTTAAGGCATCTATCATGCACATGTATTTCATAGCTAGGAAACCCTTGCCCATCAATTAGTTCCACTCCCTATACTATTTATATTTTTTCTGAATCCACAGGTTCATCAGTTAGGTCTAATTCAGTGAAATTTTAGTACAGTACCTATAATGACAATGTTCCTTTACAATCCTATTATGTTATCCAGTTTTTGAGTGATTGTTTAATAACCTGACTATTCATATAAAAAATCTTTTCATTAAGACCAATACTCGGAGAAGTTTATGCTGTCAACATGTCATTCGGTAACTTTTATATGGCCTGATATTAACGTGCATCCCCTTCAGCTTGGCTTTTTCTCCATGTCTATAATAATGGGTACAGTCACAAATGACTCATTAGTTTGGCGGCAGGAGCATACATGATCCGTTGAAGACAATATATACCTGTAGTAGCGCACGGGATAATACTTGCAAAAACGATGTTGCAAACATCATGTTCGAAATATCACTTGTAATGGCAATGTTGCAAACATCACACACAAAATAGCACTCTGTAATGGCGATATTGCAAACATCACACACAAAATATTGTTTTTTTGGTAACAATATAACACATCCATACTTATATTATCGTGGTGTGATTTACATATATACTTGAACCTGTGTACATGATGGTATAGAGATGCGGCGGAACTTATTCGTGGATTTATTGACGTACGAAAGAAATGGATATTGGAGATTTCTTCCTACCGATATAAAACATTATCTTAGCTGCATCACGAAAAGGTCTATACGGTAGAGTTTGTGAGCCTGAAACGTCACACTCTCCGTGACTGTGTTAATTGGCGAACTTTGCTTTTTTTTATTAAATGCCACTTTAATGTCGGTATTTATTTTCACAGTATTATTATCTTATCGTACGATCCGTGTGTTTTTAGTTCAAAAATTTAACTATCCCGTAGCAACACACGACACGCAACGTATAAAGTCTTAGGAAGAAGGTGAACAGTAACTAAAGGTAAAAGGTACGGAGGCGGATATAGCGCGACCCGTATCAAACACATCAGACTAAAGTGGTTCATATGAACTTTAGTATAACTAATTTTAGTCTACCTAAACTTTAGTTTTAGTAATTGGAACAAGTTTTTATTGTATGAGTTAGCTGTTTGGTGCGTGTCTTATGGACCAAAGCTTCTCTCAAACTATTGGCCTTGCTCTCACTGGGATGGCACATGTGCAGTCGTCTGCTCAACCTTTGACACGCCCAATAAGCCCGATTATTGCTGCAGTGTACTGTATGACGGACATGGACGGAGGAGACCTTGACCCGCTTGGCCACAGAGTCAAGTCGCCGGCCACCTTTGTACAGATTTTTTTTAATCAAACCTTTGTACAGACTTTAACTTTGCCTGTCTGCGCCTCTCTTCTTTAATATAGTAAGCAGAGCTTTCCCGACGGTTCGGCCACCGGGTGATATACTCGTATCCATGGGATGCAGTGACTACACTTTAAGGATGTCATACGGAGTGTCATATTACTAATAAAAAATAAATTATAGAATCCATCAGTAATCTACTAGATGAATTTATTAAGTCTAATTAATTCGTTATTAGTATATATTTATTATAGCACAACATTGTCAAATTATGGGCAAATTAGACTTAAAAATTCATCTCACAAAACAGTCTCAATCTGTACATTTAGTTTCGTAATTAGTCTATATTTAATAATCTATCCATGTGTAAATATTCGATGGGACAGCGACTAAAGTTTAGGTCAAACAACCATGTGTCCTCACAAATGAACGTTCTTTGCCCCGTCGTTATTAAAAGCTATATTCAAACATCTATCAATGATACTAA